AAAGGAGATTTACAAACATGGTAGATTGATTAGGTTGAAATTACACCTAAAACACTATCAAATTGATGTTGAACACATAAAAGGTGATACAAATTATCTTGTTGATTGTCTAACAAGAAAATTTACAAGTATTTGATTGAAGAAACTAGTACTTGATCAAAACAAACAAAAAATTGTAAAATCAAAAGCAAAAAGGACCAGAATAGATCTTCAAGTTGAAGAACTCAAATTGGAAATCATATAAAAGGAGCATGAATTAGAAATCTCAAATTAGAAATTGAAGATAGTACAGTTGAAAAATCAGACAGAGAAGAGAAAACCATTAGAGCATGATGTTAAAAACGAAGCCAAAACAACTACTGAATACAAAGACGCTTTGGTGAATTATCAAAAGACCCAATCAACCTTTATCGAGGAAGAAAGGGCACCTAACTGGGACACAATGCACACCGGACCAAATTAAAGCTTCGAGAAAATAAAGATTTGCCACCTGAATACTATCGTACGACAAAAATTGAATTTGAAGCAAGGATGATCTTTTAAAAATTTAAAGAACAAAATCATTGAGAGAGTATCAGTATTTCGTAACACTGGTAGTCCCAAAGAACATCGTTTGAAAAATACATTCACAAAATTTGATGAATTCAAAATGCAACAACTGGATAGTAAGTTGATCAAAACTACTATAACTCAGAAAGAATGGCTCATGTTGTACAAAGAGGTAAACACGAGTACAAATGAACATGGATATATTTCTATTAGCAGAAATCAACATATTAAAGCAATTCTACTACAGGAGTTGCACCTGAAATAAAAAGCTTGTTCTTAGGAGGATTCATTGATACCTTCAACCCAGTGAGTAGTTTAAGGGAGTTGTCATACTCTTAAAAAATCAAACAGGCTATCGCTCTGTACATGGAAAAATGCAGAATTTGTGAAAATAACAAATCAGTCTTTGTCAAGATTTGGACTTCAAAACCAGACTGGGACAAAGAAAAACAATATCCAACATATCACTATATTCATGTTAGGGTACCTGGAGAAGTAAAAACACCAGTACCACTTGTGGAAGAAAAACCCCCTTTGACAAAGGAAGAGTTGAAATTAGAAAGAGCTGATGGAATGTATTTTATCTTGAAAACATTAGAAAAAATAAATTCACTAAGCCAAATTAAAGTGAATTATTGTAGCCCGAATATTCTTCTGGTCAGTAACTTCAACAAGAAAATGGACAAACAAGACTTGTCAATAGTCCAAAATTGGCATTAGAAAAAAATAAATTCACTAAGCCAAATTAAAGTAAATTATTGTAGCCCGAATATTCTTCTGGTCAGTAACTTCAACAAGAAAATGGACAAACAAGACTTGTCAATAGTCTGGAATTGGTAGGATAATCTCATCCTTAAGATCCATGCCATAGAAGAAACAAAGCAAACGGTGTAGTCTATTGTTCTTACTGTCAATGAGGAGAAAGAAAGACACCAAAAGAAGAAGAAGAAGGTCGTTGAGGCTAACAACAAAACAGATTCTGGCAAGCAAAGGAAAAAACATGATGAAGACGCTACCACTTTGGAAAAAGAAGGAAGCCTGCCAGCTAAGTGAACTTTGCCATGTCATTTTTTATAAGTTTACTCCCTACCACTATGAAATAATATACCAGCCATGTGATTTATGATTAAGTGTATTCCCTACCACTAATAATGTAGCAGACAAACTCATGTGGAGATTTGCTACTTTTAGTCATCTTTTCAAAATGCGCTTGGTGAGACGGCGACAAGTGTCTAACCCCAATTATTCACTCATTTCTATTTCTTGTATATGGGGGTGCCATTGGAGTGTGTAAGGCATCGATCCCTCATTTTCAGAAAACTCATCAAAATTCTGTAAACATTTTTATTCAATAAAAGAAGTTTTAAGGTTTTGAAAAGCTAGTTCAAAGAAGCTACAAGCTTCAAATCATAGAAGCATTAAGCTTCAAAAAAATTAGAAGTTATCTAACTTCAAATGAAAAAGAGTCCAAAAGGACCAACAACTTAGACTAAGAATTCTCTGAAGATTTCTGGAGACACAATCGATCATCGGAGTAAGACCCATGGAGAAGGGTTGTAAGACGACTTGGAGCACAGTGTTTGAAATTTGAGAAGAAAGCAGGAAGCTATGGTGAACCAATCAATTCTAACAAATTCAACCAGAGAAGAAACCAAGGTAAATGTCTGCTTCTACCTCTAAAAAGAAAGGAGAATATAAGGTTAGACCTGAAAAATTTTCGAAGAAAAACAAGTCTTTCAGGTACAAAAGGATTGAAAGAATTTCTTGCTAATTGTAGGACTCAGTTAGATGATGAATTTAAATATTTTGAAAATAAAAGTATTGTTAGGAATAACTTTACTAGATTAATTGATTTCTTAAATAAAGATATCAAAAGACATATAGAAGAACACAAAGAAGAACTGATATTAATCATCTTATTCTTGGAAAACTAGAAAAAATAGAAAATGAAATAAAAACATTAGAAGAAAAAGAAACGACGATCTCTTTCGAAGATTGTTTTAGTTTTAAAGATGAAGAACAGTTTGACATTATTAACGAAAGATTAAATGCTAGTTCCATAAGGTTAGATATTTATGGTAATTTAAGAAAAAATGAAATAATTTTATTTGAAAAGGCTAGAGTGGATCTCTTAGAAAATCTAGAAAACCTTATATATGGAATAACACTCAAGAAGAATTATTATGAAAAACATTCTACAAGAGATAATTACTATAGAGATTGTTTTCCAGAACTAGAAAGCCAAGTTAATTATCTAAAAAGTATAAAGAAAAATTGAAAAAGAAAAACTTAATATCTAGAAATTTCCGCAATTTTTTAGTCATTAAGGTAATAAAGTTGAAATTAAAAGTTGAGACATAAATCAATAAAGTTGAAATTAAAAGTTGGGATGGAAATGGTATCAGAGCTTAGTAACAGGTGAAAATACTAAATTTTTAAGATCAAAATGTTATGATAAATAAAATAATCTCTTAGATTATTACAAAAAACACGAAAAATCAGGCTACTTAATTGAAGTCTTGATAGATGCAAACAAGATAGGGATAGCAGATCACGACTTAAAGAAAAATCATAACTTCAGAAATGAAGGATTGATAAAGAAATTAAATAACTTAATTTCTCGAAAAAATGAAATATTCTTTGGAATTATTTCTGGAGAAGAAGCAATAGATACAGATCAAACAGAAAGAAATGTAGTTATCCATATTATCTGTAAAGAACAAATACTTTCTACGTTCAAAGATATAACAGTAGAAACTAGGAATAAAATTTCTTACTTACATGTTTCTACTATACAAATGGTTCTTAAATCAACTTATAGTATAGGAATGGATTTACCTATCACAATAAGACTACTTGATAATAGAAGGATTAATTATTCTGATGCTCTAAAAGCTGAGGGGAGTGGAAGTATAAAATTTGTTAATATTAAGTTTAACTTAAACTACCAAGTTGGAATGTCTTTATTAGACAAAAAATTAGATGGCTCCAACAACTTTGTGTTGGAATATGAAAGAAAAATAATGAAAACTGGAAACCATCAATTTTCAGTAACATGGAGAATAAACTATGCACTGACTAACAGTCATCATTGTCTATCATTCAAACCCCATGATAAAATTGATATTGATTAATTGTTTTCACCTATATTACAACTAGAAGCACCTAAAAGGTCTTTTCAAATACATAGACTTCATCTTTCGTTAGACCTAAAATAGACTACACTATTCGTAAGCAGAATAGTGAAGAATATGAAGTTATTTCTTCAAAAATAGATATTTGCACTGAAGTAATCTTAAAACCTAATAACAAAATATATATAATTGAACAAAAGGTTCAATAGATAAGTAAAGAATTAGGATTTAAAATATAATAAGTTCTAAAGATATATATCAGATAACGAAACTACTCTTGTTATCATAATAAAGAAGAAAGAACATTCGTTATATAATATAAGGGCATTATTGACCTTTTATTTATCACATTTTATAAGAAATAAATGGAGATCATTTGCACAAAAGGACCTTTGACTAGGTCTTCTAAATAAAGATCCCATCATCAAGGAGTGGAAGGAGTACTGTTAAGTTGTTTCCTTGTTTTGTTCTTGAACTCGATTTTAAGCTTAGCCCTTAAAACAATGGCTTGACTTGGGTTCTTGTTTTTTCTTTCTACTTTATTTAGTGCGGGTCAGGTCTCTTTTTAGCTTCCTGCAGGATTCGATTGTTTATCTGCATGTGGCTCTTTTTGGTCTAGCTTTTCTAGGGCACCTTCATGGTGTTCCACTCATGGTAGCTTTCTTTCTCATTCGAGATGTAGCCCCGTCTTACCAGTTGTATTTGAACTTTGTTTCGGTTTGTTTTGTTATATAAGTTTCTCTATTGTTTCGAAAAAAAATATATATATATTAGTAAATGTTATATTTTTTTCTATATAATCTTTTGGAATATAAAAACTATTTTCCCCACGGTCCCACCCCACGTATGTGTAGTGTAGTATCTATCTATTATACAATTAAATTAACTGTTATCCGAAGTAAAACCAACTCATCACAGCAAAATCGTTAGCTTTCAGTCGATGCATGGAAAAATTGTGAAGTAAAAGAATTCGAAGTTAACCAACTGCTATGGCGGATTT